GAAAGTGAGAACCCTCTTCAGTTTAAAAGACACATTCTGTATTCACCTTGAATGTGGGAATTATGAAGACAGAATGGGATGCATTTGTAGTCTTATTTGCATGCCAAAATTCAAATTGTTCTCCTGGCTATGGCTGATATCATAACACTGTTTCAGATTCTGATACAGACACAGTTCCAAAGATGTTGGTATTTGTTTGAATAAAGTTTTCATCTGCATGTTTTGCAGCTCAGGTTTGCATGATAAAGCAGCCTAAGAAGGACAACATGAAAGGGAAATGCTGAAAGAGCGCATAGCAAAGAGCATCATTCTGAAACCATTTCCTCCTGCATAGACCTTCTACACTGGCATCTGACTTTGTTTTTCTTAACAAGTTAGAATACGCTAAAGACAGACCATTCAGTTTACGGAAAGCATGAATCTCATCGGTAATACAGAAGAAAGACAATATATGAGATACTTACCAGAAAATATATAAATAAATAAAAAATACAACAGACATTTGCAATATGTCTATTTCAAAGCTCTGGTTGCTTGATTAGGTAAAATATAAAAGATCCATCCCAGCAAGACATGCTGATGAAATTTTCTTTTATAAATGAGTAGTTTTATACTGGGAGAATTAATAAGAAGCAATCTACAAAGAGAGTATGGGATAAAAGGCCTTTTCTAATAGTTTGAATATCATACAAAACCTGAAAATGCCTTCTTCCTATACCTACATTTGGAAGCATAGCACCTTGCTTACCAAGTCTTGTACTCTGATAATAATCTACTAGATCTCACATACAATACAATGTACCAAAATAATTCAATCTTTTAGCAAGGGAATCTGCTTCATTTACTCATGTATAAACATTGCCTTAACATTAGGATAAATCCATGGAACATGCCTTAGCTTCTCTAACCCCCAAAAAAAATTTTGAAGAAAATGTGGACTTTTCATTTCAGAGTGAAACATTTCAGATTCATTCCAATGATATTCCAGTTAAAAATTAAAACTTTTTTTCAGAGATATTTGTAAAATTTTCACAGAATTTCAGAAAAGTTTCATTTAAAAATTTTTAAAATCAAAAGGTAGAGTTTCCAAAGTTTGGTTTCAGATATCACTTTTTATTTATAATATTGCTTTTGTATATTTTGAAATTTTAAATCCTCTATTACAGTCTGTTTAGTATTGATGAAAAAAGCACTTGCTTTTTTTAGTTTATGCTTCCTCAAGATGAAACAGTCGACAAAGAGTTTTATTCAGTTCTTTTGTGGACTTTAATTATTTTTTTTAAAGCAGAATCTATATCTTTCCCTTTTGTCAGAAAGCTCTTCTCCAGTGAAAAGTTGTTACAGCTAAATTTCTCGTCAGCTGTAGCCTTGCCTATGCCTCAGAGACTAGAAGAAACTCCTACGGGTTAGTTCCTCTTACTGCTTCACTCATACCATAGAGGAGACCTCTGTCCATGTCAGTGTGGAAGGAGACTTTGGCCCTGCAAACTGATACATGCCAGTTCAGAGCCTGATGTTACAGCCCACACAGACCCTAAGGGCTGAACGCTTAGCAAGGGCTCCGGTCATTTGCACTAAAGGAAAATTTGTCAATAGCATTAGGTTGTCATCCTCGAAATGTGGGAGCACTGAAGAGGGATAAAATGTTTTACCAGTGGTTTTGACTGCTGGCTGACAGCAGAGTGATTGTCCAAAACGCTGGTTTTGGAAGACAGTATGCTGCAATATTCATAGCTGTTTGAGCCTCATACCCCTTACACGCTTCTCCTGGAAAAAGTGTGACTGTTTTTTCCTCCTTATCTTAAAAATTCTTGTACCTATCCTGCCTTTTCTTGTCCCCTTTTTCTTATTCCCATCCCATTTGCAGTGTTTATCCTATCCTACTTCTGCTCTTCAGGCTTTCCCACTCTCAAATTGTCCACAAAGTAACTCTTACTCTATTTTTTTTCTATCTGTCATAATCTCCAGCCCTTGTCTCCCTTCTTACCATGAGGTTCCCCTATCAATTTCCAGCCGCTTGGCCACAATCTCTTGACACAGCTATGTCCATTTTTCTCCTCAAGCTCTTTCGTCAAGTTGTACATCACCTATTTTTCCTTCCAGTCACCCCAAGAATCACCTGGCCCAAGCACTTTGCTAGATTACTGTTGGTCTCCTACCATGGCAGACCATATTTTTTGCTTGAGCAGTCACAGTTTCCACCATGGCTTCCCATCTCAGTGTCATCACCCTTGACACAAAAGCCAGATGTCCTGCCCTCAGCATTGCCCCTCTAGCTTCCTAGGAAACTGACACTTTTTAAAGAAAAGATTTTTTACACCAAGAAAAGATTTTTCTTTTTCCCTAGCTGTTTGGGTTTTTTTAATATACCTACATTGTTCTTCTGACGTTCTTTGCCAAAAAACAAGCTCAGCCTGCAGCTAATTTCAGCACTGAAAGTTTCACCACAGGTAGTTAAATGTGGTAACAAATTAAGTTACTGGAATTAGAGTCTTATGAAAGGAATTAGCAGGCAAACTTAATAAAAGTCATTACTACCGTCCCTATTTCTCCTGAGTTTCTTCTTTATCCTACATTTTCCTGATATTTTCTGAAGACAGATGATAAGTAACAGGCTATATAAACACTTGAATGTCACTTCAAAATGTTGCACTCAACATAAGTACATACTAGCCAAACAAAAGTGCTCATTTCACAAACACTACAGGTGTCTCAGAAATAACACAACCAAGGGTGACCTTTAGCATTATGCATTCCAAATACACACAAATTTTAGATTTAAAAAAAAAACAACAACAATTCTTTTCTGTGCCTATTTTTCAAATTTAGTATTACGGCCCACCATAATTAGTTTGTGGCTGGGGGGGGGGGGGACCATAATTATTTGTGGCTGTTGGCCATGTTGCAAAAATCCGAAAGTTTGCCCTTTCCCTTTCCCTCCATGAATTTAGTGGCTTTTAACAGTAGACTGTAAGTCAGATTTTCAAGTGAAATGGTTGCAGTGGCCAGTACTACTGGTGATTTTAGAATTATGATCAGATAACACCTCTGGAAAATGCTGTGGTGTCAGGCATGTTATAATTACAATATATAACCATGTTTAAAAGGCTTGTAAGTATGTACCTATATAAGTTAGTATGTATCAGGACATTGTGAATGTATGCAAAGAAAAAGAGCTAATTTTTTGCATTCTAATTGCATGTAAAATACAGGGGGAGTTAATCATTTTTATTAGTCTTAAGTAAACTATTTATTGGTATTTATTGGAGTTAGCAAGTGCATGATGCCCTACTTGCCTTCTTCATAAAGAAGAGAGAGTTATTGACTTTTTTATTTTCATTTTTATATCCATAAGAGGAATATGCAGAAATAATTTCCATTTAAACAGAGAAAGGTGAGGTTTTAATTGGCAGCTTTCTTCCTGTAAGGTATTTCTCTTTATCAAACTAGCACCTGCTGGGAGTAAATTTTAGGGGGTTGTGTGTTTGGTGGTTTTTTTAAAGATCTGATTGAGAAATCTCTGACAGAGTACTTTGGTAGGAAAATATTGTTTTTAATTATAGCAATTTTTGAGGCAATATACTGCTTTTAGTTAGTTTTACTTACAAAAGTTACCTTAGTTCAAGGATTGAATAAGTCTATTTGTTAAAACTATAACATATCCCAGAAACCTTCTGGTCTTGCCCAAGTGCCACTGTAAAATGGCCAAGGGTAGAGGACATAGCACATCCACACCATGCACCTAGTCCGTGGCTTGTCGGGCCTCGCAGCGGAACCTTGGTCTGTCACATTCGGGCTGTGAGCTCTAGTCTTGTCTCTGTTTTCTGAAGAAATCTCAGATTCATCACAGAGGAACATCAGAAATACTGAAAATTTTGGGGAAAAAAATTGTTTCCATTCTTAGACTTAGTGGGAAAGCAGTAAGACATTTGCAGGAGGATCTGATTTCCAACTCCATTTTCAAGTGTGCTTTTTAGATAACAAAGACTTAACCTTTGCGTGAGTCAGGCAAGAAGACCATGGAGGATAATATAACTGGATTGAATGTACCCGCATTTCTGTCACACCGCTCTGTGTTCCACCATTTACTGTGACTTGGCAGTCAATAGATAAACCCTGCATCTCAGTTTATAACACAGGGAGCCCTGGAGTCCATCTCAGATTAGAACTATCATGGGGAACAGCTAATTTTTTTTTTAATATGGAAAGAACTGCAGAGGAAAGAAAAAGGCATCAGAAAATCAATTGCATGAAAACTAACTTGTTTCAGATGCCAACATTCCTCCAATCATTTTCCTAAACACTTAACTGACTACTAGTTGTCTTTTTAAATCTTGTCAACATTAATCTCAGAGTGCAAAACACAGCTTTTGTAACAAATTAGGTCAATTCCTTCTGTGCTGAAAGTATGTGCTCTTGAAAGCCCTTAAAACATAACGGAAAAAAGTGTGACTACACAGGCTAGTGCTCAAAATTCGAAAGGGACAAAATCTCCCTGACTGTGAAAAACTAGGAAAGATGTACCCTCATTTATGATTCCCTTATTCAGAATAAAAGATAATACATTTGAAACCTAATAAAATATGCCATTATCACTATTAGATGTGAGTCATTCTGGAACTCCTCAATGTATCTGAAAGTGGCTATGAAATATAAAATCAGAAAATACATGTGTGAGTTTCAGGGGCTTCCATACAGCTATCCCAAAATGCAAATATTCTGGGAGAAGTAGGACTATAACACTCAGTGGAATAATGGATTTAAATGTGAAATTGTCAATAATTTCTAATATTGTGCTACAAAGATGTCTCATTGAGCCTTTTAGCTAAAATATTGTTGATATGTGGAACTTGGCTTGTGATCATACTAGAGATTTATGCTGTTAGAACTCAGTTAATGAGAATGAAATTTTACAGATGTTTTCTGAAAGAACATGGAATAGACTCACAGTGCCAGTTTGGGAGCCATGAATGTTAACCATCTCTTCCTTGTTTTCCTAGCTCCTGTCCGCTACTTTCAATGTGTCTTCCTAAATGGACCTAATGGATTTGGACTGCAATTTCCCACTAACCCCCCTTCAAACAAGGAAGAAAAGACTCACTCAAAGACTTCCAAGAGAAAGACAAGGAAACCAGGGCAGTAGAGAGACTGAATCTTGTGATTGCTCACATTTTGCACTTTATCTTTTCTGCTGAGGTCCACAGTAGTTACAGTGGTACTTGTCATTGCAAGAATGTGATCCACTTGGACATATGTACCTGGAAAAAGTTTCCATGAGGCATAGGCAAAACAAGCAGTAATGAACTGTGTTTGACAAAGGTAGAAGTGTAAAAGTGCCCCGTTTCTCATGGAAAGGCTGCAATGCTAACAAAGCGTTGACTTGATTGTGTGTGTGTTTTCCTGCCTCTTTTGCTCTTCTTTTTCTTTACCTACCTGCTCAGCATTGAAGTGAGTCTGTTTTCCATTTAATCTTATCTAGGGAGTTAAATGTTGGATGTAGCTCTTACATCAGCAAGACTGCAAGACTACCTACAATCCTAAATCATTTCTTCTTAACGATCAGTCAAATTGCTGACAGGAAAAAGCCTCACTAAGTCATGAAAATGCGCTCTGTGACTGGTGTTATTTTTATGTCTCATTGACCAGTGTAGCCTGAAGCTCACACTTGCTCTGAGCAGCTCAATATACTATCAGTACATTGACTCTGCAAGTCATGTTAATGATGAATATTTCTATTTAACTTGAAGCAGTAAAAGCATGGTCTGTTTGCCCTGCTTGTTGGTGAAATACAAACTCTTCACTTTCTAAAACCCAAAGTGAGCAGAGAAAGTGAAACAACATGGCAAAGCTGAGGAAAACTAGTGTTTCACCAACATGAAGGTCCCAAGAAAAAAATGAAATAATTTTAGTACTTCTACTTTTCTTCTGTGGGTAAATCAGATTGACTTGCAGCAAAGACCATGTAAATGGAGAATATACCAGCCAACCATTTGCTATTAGCATAAGTCAGATGAAAAGTTATGAAGTGAGATGCCACTCATAAAACTAAAGCAACCCAAATTTCCAATAGATAAACATGCCAATTTGATGTAATCTCAGATCAGTGAACAAAAAAAAAAAGAACAAAACAAAACAAAAAAAACCCAACAAACAGGACTATATGAAATAATCCGGGTAGCTGATTTTACTAGATGAAATGAAAGGACTTCCTCACAGCACACTACTGTTGGTAACTTACAGATGAGAACTGGAAGTAGATCTGCCAATCCTCAACCTTCTTTTGTGCATTTCTGTAGAAATAATGGATTTGTTGCCTTAAGAAAGAGATGGGATGGCATTTGATCCATGTGAAGGCACATGACTGAAAACTGGCATCTCAGTTGTCTGTACATCTGGCAATGTAAATAATCATGCATTTTTGCACGCTGCTATTTGTTTGTATTTCCTTACTATATTTTTGCATTTAATCTGTGAAATGTACAGCAGTGATCTTAGTTATATAGTTACCTGGTGAAGCAGCATGATGCTTTTTGTACAACCCGGCTACTTGTAGAGTCTGATCACACCAGTAACTATATACCGCTTTTTTATTTTTAGCATAGTTCAAGATAACATCAGCCCCTTCCCCCATCCCCTCGTCCTGCCAACCCATCCTTACTTTAATCAAATAATTGATTCACACGAGTTTTTGACAACTGAGTCTTTGACAGGTCAATGCAATTCAGAAAGCTTTGCTGTTACGCTTGCTGGGTCAGGTTGGTACTCTGATTACTGGTCATGGCCTTATGTGAACTGGGTTCTTGGTCTTAATGCACTCTCATATTGCACAGGTCCTGTGCTGCAAAACCTGTCATTGCAACAAGCAGTCTAGACATTGGTTTCTGGAAAGACGTAGGAACAGGTCCTGCCCTAGGAGTAGCTCTTCCCACATAGGAGCACACTGCAGATAGATAAAATTGTTCATGGTGAATGCCTCCACTGTCACCTGTGAAATCTGCTCTGGGGATAGAGCTGTCAAAGAGTATTTCATGGTAAAATGACAATCTTTAATTTTCTTTCAGTGGGCCTTTTTATATTTCCAGTGACTTTTTTCTCCTCCCAATTTGTGATTCTGTATATATTATTATGGATGTTATTGCCCTAGATTTTTACTGTGAAAGCTATCTTAAAATAAGATTAAAACTTTCTGAAAATCAGTTAATTTAATTCAAGACTTTATCTAATTCTAATAATCAGGACAAAATTTTAAGATACCATAAGCCATTAATTTTTTCAGTTTCTTTTCACAAAATAAATTTTGCTGATTATAGTTAGCCTTAATCCTTTCTTCCCATTTGAGTTGGGAGATGACGAGAATATGTTCCAGATCTCATTTCCATAATGTTTCAATTAGATATCTGAAAGCTTTGGAAATATAAGCAATTAATATTATTGAAAAAGTGACATAAAATCAGTCATTTATTGTTGTTTCCTAATCTCAGTCACTGCCTCAAAGAACAGGAGAAACAGGTCCACTGTTGGTCCACAGGTCCAAATGGCGAGCATTTTTCTCTTTAAATTCACCTGGAAACTTTAAAAAAATTACTTGAATTGCATGGTTTTACTCAAATTAGCCTGAAATATTGCAAAATCATATGCTGATTGTTATCCATTTCGGAAAATAAAGAATATAAACCTTGTCCCAGTGGCTGTGATATGTTTTCCTGTGAATCCAAAAGTGGAGGACAAGGGTTTACATATGTAAGTGTTCTATCCCTGCCAAGTATATATGAATCTTCTGAATATAAAGACATGGCATTTCTTACAGTTAGGCTGGAAAAATGAATCATTCAGCATTGTATTTATTCCTAATGAGCTTTTTGCAATACTTATCTTAGATAGTCTTTTCACACACTTTGTGCATTACACTCTGACATACAAAAAGCTAAATGGTTGCCACAGTCATTCAAGGTAGGACTTCACCTGTACCAAAACCACGTATGTTCATCAAAGTGATTATTTAAAATACAACTGCACAACCAATACAAAACCTGCAACCTCCAATGACTAGTCTGTAGTCCAAACAATTGGGAAAATGACCACCAGGAAACTGAGAGAGTAAAAATGGTGAGATTTCCTCCCACCCCCCCATAGGAACTATGGCTTGCCTATATCTGCAATTGCTAAAATTGGTGCACGAACCAGACTACAGCCTGAAGATAGCACAGCTGCAATTGCACAGTTCTGTGTTGGGGTCCAAGAGTCCTTTGCCCCATGGAGTTTGGTGATCCTTCCCACGTAGGAGGTTTGTTGCTCAGCAGTTTGGTTGTGCAGGTGGATCGGCGTTTCTAATCCCTTCTTCTTGAAAATGTGCACCTTTCTCTGAGATGCTAAAATCCTGCTGAAGTCAACAGGAACAGAGAATTTCCAGCAGCTCTGAAAATCAAGACTTGACCAAGCCCAATGAGATCAATTTTGCACTGCTCAGCCAAGAGTAAGTTGCCCGCCCCCGAGCTGCCTGCTCTCGCTAGTACAGTCCACAGACTCCATTTGCAGCCCTTGGTCCACGTTCAGTGTTTCACACTCCTACCCACGTCACAGCTGGAGTCCTATTTTGTCCATTTTAAAACCTTCCAGCAAATGGGAGCTTTTCTCAATGGCCCATTTCTATTGCTCCAGTTGCTGACACAATTTCCAAGGGAAGGTCGGAAAGTCTGTGTAAGAAGCTACTTTGGTGATTAACTGTGCCAGTGTACCTGGTGCAGGTGCCCAGGCGCTGGCAGCAGGGGGCTGCAGGGCGGCCTCTGTGAGGAGAGGCCGGGGCTGCCCCGTGCCGGACACAGCCGGTTCCAGCCAGCTCCAAGGGACCCACAGCGGGGCACAGCTGAGCCCCGCAGCCACGATGGCAGCGCCTCGGGGAAAGCATGTGTAAGGAAGGGCAGACAATGCCACAGAGAGAGAGGAGGAGGGAACAAAAAGAGTGAGAAGCAGCAGAGGGAGCGCCACGGTCAGAAGAGGAGGAGGAAGAGGAAGTGCTCCACACCGGAGCAGAGATTGCCCTGCAGCCTATGGAGGACCCATGCCAGAGCAGGCAAAAAGTGTGAGGAGGACAGAGCAGCGGAGAGGAACCGCCATGTACCAACCATAACTGCCGGAGACTGGAGTGAAGGAGTGAAGTTGAGCCTGGGAAAGGGGGGAGGAAAGGTGTTGGTTTAATGTTTGTGTTTCTGTTTCCCACTATCCAAATTAGCAATTACATTTTTATGACTTAATTTTCCCCGAGTCTGCTTTGTCCATGACAGTAATTAGTAATCAACCGGCCTGTTTTTGACTCACGAGCTTCCTTGTTCCTATTCTTCCTATTTTCTCCCCCTGCAGAGAAGTGAGTGAATGTCTAGGTGGGAGATCAGCTGTTAACAAGGCTAACCCACCACAGCTGGTTTTTACACAGATCCTATACACCGCTTACTAAATGGCAACAAATTGGTATTTGTCCCACATTTAGAGTCTCCACTTACAGCACAAGACAGGACATACATAACTTGTACATCGCCGCAAAGTTTTATCCCATTGGTCCCCAACTCTAGAACTGCACCGCTAGGCTTTTGATACACAGCCATTTACTACATAGTATAGTCTAGTTTAGATGCCATATTCCCTGCAGAAATACTCTATGACACTTTGCTTTAATCCAACATAATACAAGAAGTGCAGTAAACACAGTTGCAGAGGGATGTCTTTATCTGCCAGGACATAGGCACTCAGGAGAGCAGCTGAAAGACTCTTGCTTAATGCTTTACGTCCACTTCAGCATCCCACTGTATAATCCACTCAGTATAGTGAGAAATGAGTGAAAGACTTACTCCCTTAGGGGAGTAAGAACTGGTTGTTTAAGCTGCTTTGGACTTAAGACAGTCAGCTGCTGACTGCCCACAGTTACATACATCAGTAGCACTTCTTTCAAAGGATTCAAGGTTTTGGAAGCTGAGAAAAAAAGTAAAAGGATAACACAAATAGTACTGGGAGAAGGGGAAAGTGAAGGTGTGAGGGGCTGGTAACTGACGAAATAAGAGGAAATATCAAATGCCTTCTGAGGGTTCCTAGGCAGGAACTATGCATAAAAGAGGAAGAATTTGCTAAAGATTCAGCTTTGAGAAAGTGATATTTCTGCCACCTTTTAGTTCTCCAGAAGGAAGAAACACAAAGGCAAATGAAAATATGAAGCATGTATTATTTATACACCTGAAAAGGTCACTAGATATCGAGCTTTCATACCATCCATTTATCCCGAGTGAAGTTCTCCAGAAATTCCCAATTAGCCAAATAGTTAAGGAGTCCTACTACTCACCTCTTGGCAAAACCTCCTTATACAGAGTGTATCTCTCAATGCAGAAGCCTTAGCCTTTCAATTAAATAATGAAATAACATGACCTTTTCGTTTTTTCTCTTGGTTTATGGATTTCTGTGTATGCATGTTGCTTGTGATACAAACTCCACACAACAATCTGTTCTGCAGTACTTGCATCTCAAGAACTGTGTTAGTTATTGCTGTAAATACCTCTCAGGAGCTTTCTTCAATTTCCAGTCTTGTCTTTTATTATGATAGAATTGAGTAACATTTTTAGAACACAATTTTATTTTGCCTGGTCCAAAAGCCCAGCAATTTAATTTACTCAGTGATGGTTCCTTTTGGAAAGGTATTGCAAAAAATACAGTTTCCAGATACCACTTTTATTATATACAGGGGAAAAAGAGGTTCTGTTTTGCCAATACTCACTAGATAAAATTTGTTTACAGTTTTGAGCCTGTTTCTTTGCATGAGTTGCTTATTCTCAAAGGGAAAAATATGTCCTTGCTCAAATGACCAGTGTGACCCCTGCGTTCCCTTTGGTTGGTTCTTGTTCTGTGTTAAGAAAAACCTAAGTGGTCTCATTTTCTGTAGATGAAAGGATACTCTGCCCACAGGCAAACTTCTTTCCAGATTTGTTTTTACCTGAAACCTTCTCTTAATTTTCTCTCAGAATGTCTAATGGTAATAACTGTGCCCATATCTTAAACCTTTGGGTTTTGTCTCAGCCACCAATAGGAAATCATATTAGGTAATATTGTCTGGTGTCTGAACCAGCAAATCACTGAACATGGTTAGTAGCGGAGGTAATAAGCAACTTCTTCCTGATAAGTGTGATATTTGCTTTTATAATTCTAAAGTTTTCTCATTTTTTGTGCTAAGTTTTGCTCAGAAATACATTTATTCTCCCATGCTAAGCTCCAGCTAGCAAAAAAAGCAAACATTCTTCAAAACCAAATTACCAAACTGAAAAATTGTAATTATGGTAAAGGGTAAACAGAAACACTTTAGTCAGCTGCTTTTTTATTCTGCAGAGGGGCATTACAAAATGAAGGTCTTCTCAATTTTAGACCTGTCAAAGAAATGGGAAAATAAAGCTGCTGATATTAATATTCCAACACCCTTTCCAGCTGAATGACAAAGATATAAATGTACATTTATTGTGCAACCCACCTTCTGTGCTTTTTTTCATTCAGAAGGTGAACAATGCAAAGGAGGAGTCTTGAGTACCATGCTGTTAAATTAGAGCTTAGCTGTAGCATTTCAATGAAGAAAAGACAACGTGAAGACAACTTGATGAGAACCTTCCATATGCCTCTCTAAATATCGTATCTTCCTGTCAAGTGATATGGCCACCCTTTCTCAAAACAACTGCGTCTCTTTGTTCTCTCCTTGACCTTGATGTGAGTGGGTAAGTCTGGCTTGAGAAAATCTGAATAAATCACTACTGAGAAAAATTAATTAAAATATCTGCTTTTCTAAGAAGATTTTATGACCCTAACTGTTTACATCAGGCAAATCTTCTTCCTTTTTAGTTAATTGTCGAGAGTGTTTTTCCCATTAATGCCTTGCCAACTTATTTATCATCTCTGGGCACAAGTAATAGAAGTTAATAGAATTCTATAGACTTTAAGGACATTTGGACCCAACCCTGAATCCACTTTTTTTAACTGATTGATCATTTAGCTAATCATTTTGGAAGCTTCCCCAAAAAGTGGAAAAGAAAATTGAAGTACCAAAGCATTTTTTCACATATTTGTTTTCAAAACAAAAGCAGAAAAGGCACTTGGAAAATTAGTACCAATGACAGTGAGGTTATTAAATGCTGAATGTCACTGAAAATGAAACATCTGGGTGCTTCAGATTCCAGGAAATAAAACCAACAGCATGCCTCTAATTTGCCTGAAACTTAATGATTTAAGGAAAAAATAGTCTAGCATTTTCAGTTTATAGCAGTGCTGTTGATGTCCTATAGTTCCAGTGGGTTACAATTAGTGAGAATGATGAGTCCATGTAACCAAAGGCAGAAATATTGCAAAATTAATCCAGGTATGGTAGACCAATTCACATTTTTCAGGGATATTTTACAGATTCATCTGTTTGTGTGGAGCTGTATCATGGACAGTAGTGATTGACACACTGCAATAAAAAGGGTTTCTGCAATTTAGTTGACATCATAAATTCTCTGAAAACAATTGCAGCAATAGAGCAGTTAACAAGGTTTGAGTGTGACCCCATTTGACAGCTTTCACCCTTCATGTTGAGACCCCTACTACAAAGGGCTTCTATCGTGTGTAACCATTGTCAGTCCTTTGCTTCCAAGAATGTACCATTCTCTGCTTTTGTTTAGAT